AAATTAGAAAAGAGACCAAACCAAAAAATGGTGAAGCAATTTAAATACAAACATCACCAAAGATGATATCCAAACAATATATTAGGCAAATGAAAAGATTCTCAGACTCCACAAAATCTGCATTAATGCTGTAATGAGAAACCACCACAGACCCACAAAAGAGCTAAAATCTTTAAAATTGAACATATCAAGTGTGAAGGAGGAATATAGTAGGAAAAAAAACACACCCTGCCAGTAGGAATGTAAATTTAAAAGTTTGACATCATCTGTTAAAGGCAAATACAAGCCCACCCTTTGATCTGACAATTTCACTCCTAGGTTCAGCTATGTGCAACACGAAAAATTAAAGTCAAGAATGTTTATAACTGTACTATTTTTAATAACAAAATACCAGAAAAAAAAAAATCTACCTAGAGCAGTGATGGTGACCTTTCAGAGCTTTCAATGATACAAATAACCCACTGCAGCTTGCATGCCATACGTTTGCCACCCCTGAGGTGTACAGTAAAATGGATGAATACACAATGGTACAGTCATTTAATAGAATACAAAGAAAAGGGATAAGCTATACCTAACTACCTTAATGAATCTCGATGCTGAGGAAAGAAGCCAGGCACAAGAGTCAATACATTTATATAAGATTAAAAAATAAAGGCATATTTTGGTGTTTAGGAATACATTCATTTGATGTAAAGCAAGGGAATCATTACCATGAATTCAAGAGGTACAATCAGCCCTTCAAATCTGCAGGTTCCACATTTAGGGCAACCAACTACAGACTGAAAATTTTCGGGGAAAAAATGTGTCTATACCAACTATGCACAAGTTTCTGGATCATTATTCCTTAGCAACTATTTATAGCGTGTCTACATTGTGTTAGGAATTATAATCTTGAGATGACTTAAGGAGTACAGAAAGCTAAGGATAGGTTGTACTGTGCCATTTTATACAAGGGACTTGAGCACCTGAAGATTTTGATACTCATGGAGGTCCTGGTACCAAACACTCAAAGATACTGAGAGGTGACAGCAGTTACCTCTGAGAATCAGAGAGGAGTGTGTTGGAGGAAGAGGACCAGGAGATCCTTCTAGGGGCTGGCAGTTTCCTATTCCTATATGTGAGTAGATGTTTCTCAAAGCCTGCTTATGATCAAGCATAAAGATGTAAGTCTTTGTTTTGTAAACTTTATGCATAATTTGAATTTGTAAAAATTTCCTTTTGAAGATAGAAGGATGGCAGCACAGGGGAATGGAGTGAGAAGCAGTAGACAGGAAGAGAACAAAAATCGCTAAAATTAGGGAAGTGGAAGAGATTCTAGAAGAATTGTTGGATGTCACCTAGACTCTAGGCACTCTTAGAAAGCATGATTGTAATGCTGCCAGCTCAGGTAGGGTGTGTGGGTGTGGGTGTGAAGCTAAAGTTTGGGTAGCTGATTCTCTTTAGTATCAGTCCTGTGCCCTGGAGGGACGAGTAGGGGCGGGGAGCGGGTACATGGGAATTTGAGGAAACAGGGTGTGGGAGGGTGGTTTTAAGTGATTACAAAGACTGCAGATGTACCACAGGGCAGCCTGTACCCTCCTAAGAAAACAGACCTGATCATCAGTCACGTTTTTTAAGCTGTAATTAGCAAGTTGGCTTACACCTCTCTAAGGCCAAAAGTGTCTAAAACCAGAACAAGATCATTCTTTCCCAAATTCCTAAAAACCCTTAAAAGTTACTCAGGTAAAATTAACATTATTTGAGAAATAAGCAATGACAATTGAAAATCGAAGTAGGCTAAATATTTTCCAGGCAACAGACCTGACCTGCCACACATTCCTGGTGTCAGGTTTCAACCAGGCACTCACTGAAACTTGGCCAGGGGTTTCTCCTGTCTCTTTGACTTCCAGGCACACTCCACACCAGGGCCACCCTCTGTCAGCCACAGAGAGGAGTCCCAGCATGCCCTTGCCTAGGGGCCACCAGATGCTGGGCTGACCACTCCAACTTGAAATTCTTCCTTCTCTTCACCTCTCCTGAGTCTCCCTTCCTGCTCGCCTAACTGTGCAGGGACATATGGGTGGCCTGAGGACAAATGGGAAACTGGGGAAGCTGCAGAAGGTTTGGCATCCAGAGCTAGAGTTTTGCCAGTGGCCAGTAGCTGTTGGAAAAGTCTGAGCTGAGATTCAAAAGCTGGCTGAAATTTGATTCAGCTAAGGTGCAAGACCAGCCGACAGGAAAGGCTCAGACAAAGCCATATTTGAAGGTCATACATTACAGTCAGAGGTTGGACTGTGCACAGGGATGAGGAAACAATGCCATGTAGCAGTATGGCATGGAAGCTTAGAATTTGAACACTTGGGTTCAAGTCCCGGCTCTGTCTAGCACTGACCAGTTGTGTGATCTTTGGCAAGTTACTGACCTCTCCTGGTCTCATTTTTTCTAGTGAATGATCCACAGCTTTGAGATAAGGGTGGGGGATAAGGTTGAGATGGGCTAGGTAGGAATGAAGACTGCTGGGCAGACAAACCTTCAGGTTTAAGAGGCCGACACATCTATGACCTGGATGGATCCTGAGCCAGCCGAGGGCAGAGACTGGTCTGGCCAAAGTGAAGTGAAGAAATGGATGTGAGTGTAAGCAGAAGCCATAACGTCAACTTGTCTGCAGCCCTGGCTACGTTTTCTAAGCAGGCTTCTTCCATCCAGTTCCTGGGCTGGTGGGAACTGACTGTTGTTGAGTGACAGCACAGAGGCGTGGGCATCAGCAAGCTAGCTGGGAAATAGATCCTGGGGAGCAGTGGCCACCGGTATCCATTTTCTGTGCCTTTTTCCTGTGCCCTCAGCTGCAGCTCCTCACCCTCTCCCAGCCCCCTCCCTCTGCCCTCCTCACCAGCATTTCCCAAATGTCCCTCTTCACAATACCCCTCCTTTCTCTCTCCAAAATTTCCAAGTCTCCCCTCTAGAACATTCTTTTCTTGACCCCAAGATTCCCTTACTTCTATTTTTCTCCTTTTCTCTGCCAAAATCCCCCAGGGAATGGCAATACCAGCTGCTGTCCTTTCCTAGCTCGCCAAGGCCCTGTGGCCTCACGTCATTCCTCACGGCCTGTTCACAGCTGTGGGCCAGAGAGGCCAGCAGGGAACACGCTGGCAGAAGGCACAGCCAGGGGCACAGCACACACAGGCAGAGCAACACCCTGACGTACATGCACACACATGTAATATTTATTACACAGACATACAGACACACAGATACACAGACAGAAATACAAAGAAACCAACATACACACACACACAGAGACCCCATGCACATACGCAGACACACACAGAGAGAGAGACACACACACACACGCACGTGCGCACATTCTCATTTGGCAACCCAAGATTCTCGCTTTGCCTAGGGAAAATGAAGAGGAAATCCTTAAGTGACTCCTGGAGAGGTGATGGGGGCACTGTATTCATCAGTGGATTAAATCCGCTGATGGTCACAGCTGAATGTGCTATTAGCAGGTAGGATCCAGCTGGAGGAGTCGAGGCACTGAAGATGTTGCCTTTAGAAGCTATTATCTCTTGCTGGCTCTCTAGCCCTGTGCTCTCCTTCCAAGCAGCTTTCTCCCACAATCCCCTTCCACCATGGTGTTTCTGCTGTAGAGCCAGCCAACTATAGACTGGACACTTTGAAACCGGGAGCCAAAATAAACTTTGTTGCCTCCAAATTGTTTTTCTCAGATGTTTAGTTCCAGCAACAAAAAAAAAAAGCTGACCAATACAGACTCCCAGAGCCATCCACTGTGAGGCGGGCTCACAGTGCTCCAGACTACTAACAGTGGCAGCATTGGGAGCCAAGAGAAGATGCTAGAATTGCTCACCCAGGGGCAGATCCTGGTTTCACTCAGCGTGAAGGTTCTGCAATTGGGGAAAGTGCCCACTCTATGCCCTGCATGAGTCCTAAGCATTTAGAAGATTTGCCTGAAAGGACATGCACAGTCAGGGAAGGAGGGGGCTGGTGAGGATGCAGGGAAGCAGTCTATGACCTTGGGATCCAGAAGGTCATCTGTGCAGAACCTACTTTCCAACCCCTGGCAGTCAGAGAACATCTCAGGCAAGTGGCAGCGTATGAGTTTGCACCCAGGTGCTCTGGCTCCCCATGACCTTAATAGGCATCACCTGCTTCTCTTACACTGACTCAAGCAAGTACAAAGCAGAAGCTACCATCGTGGACAGCATGGCTCTGGGGGCTCTGAGAGATCTACCCCCCAGAAACACTGCCTGCCATGGGTTCCTGGGTGCTGGGCCAGGCCTCACCAAGACCTGGAAAGAGGACACAGCCTCTCTCCCTCTCCTTCCATCTGCTTTACTGTTTTCCTCTTCCTCCCATCCCAGTCCATACCATGGTGACTTCATTGATTATAAAGTTTCTTACTATTTTAAAATTTTATAGCTTGATGTCTTTAATTATCACATTGTAAAAGATTTCCTTTGGGTGGCTCTTGATTGTCTTCCACCCTATAAGTTCTTAATAACAAAGGTGTGTACCAGTCCTAGCTGAAAGTATTTTAGTCCTGAGCTCTGTCAGATTTGGTGATGCATCTGTGGAGGGCATCAAGATACAAGCCCCTCGCCTCCATCCCTCTGGAGGAAATACATGTGTATATATTTGTGTGGGTTTTTTAAAAATTTCTTTTTAAATAGAGTTGTGAGCCCTGACAGCAGAGGAGAAGCACTTGGATCTTTTCATAAGCATATCCAAACTCCAGACTCCTGCAGACAGAGCTCAGCAGAATTCTGGGGATGGCACAGGTCTTGAACATCAGGATGTTTTACCGAGTCACAGAGGTGACCAGGATTGGGAACCACTGAAGATGAAGAAGGCTGAGGATCCTTTAACAAGAAGAGGGAGTGTCCTTGGAAGGGTAGGCCCTCCTCAGAATTGGATGTAGGCCTTTCTATGTTCCCCCTGAACTTCCCGTTCTGGGGACATTGAGTGTTCCAGCATGGAAAAGGTACTGTCAAGGCTGTTACCTGAGAGTTTTCTGTGATTCCCCATCCTTCCTTGGCTATCAAGCCTGCTATTCTGCCTGGTGTTTATTTCTTGTCTCCTGATGTCCCCAGGTCGCTCACTCCATGTCCCTCTTGGTCCTGTTTACTGCAGCCAGCCATCCTCTTGCTGTGCCCTGGGGTGGTTGAAGAACCAGGTGTCCAGAGTAAACGGGGGCATTGTGACATCAGCAGTTACCTCATTTCCCTCCTCTGACTTGTCTGCCCTGGTTCTCCCCTTGGTAAGCCCAGCTGTCTCCCAAGATGCTGTCTCCAAATACAGACGTTGGAATGATTGTCTCTGCCCCGCAAGGTAACACCTACTACGTGCTGGGTCCCATCCAGGTACTTTGTGTGCATGATCTTATTTGGGATCTCTGCTCTTAGAGAAGGAAAGGAGATAGCTGAGCTTATTTCTCTTCAACAATTCAGTTATTCTGGGCCAGACCTGGCCATTTTGAGAGATGAGATCAGTAGCCCACGTCCTCAGTGACAGAATCACCTACCGTCTGAATAAGACACAAATAACTGGGTCCCATTTCCAAAGTCTCTGATTCAGTAAATCTAAGGTGGATCCCAAGAATATGACTGGCTAAGAAGCTTTCGGCATTCTTCTGAAATAGGATACTTTTGGAGAAGCTGGGAGAGAACTGCTATCCTCAGAGAGCTGCTCAGAATCAGCCCTCTCCCCGACACACACACACTCTCCCCTGGCCTGTCCAGATTTGGTCTTAGGGACGGTGTGAAGTTTCTCACCTTAACCATGACCCCAACCCTAAAAATCCCTCCAGGTTCAAGGAGGACCTAGTTTGGAGCAGGTTGTGAAGTCTAGCAGTTCAATTGCGGTGTCAACTTGGGACGGTGCCCAGAGCCAGACTGGGCTTGCTCTTTGTGTTATTGAGTCCATGAGCCCTATGGGTAATTGCATTGAAATTGTTCTTCTTGTATCCATTCTTCCCAATCTCTCCCCACTACTATAATTCCTGCTCTCAACTGCCCAGCCAGGAATCTGAAGTCCCCTCACTCCTCTTGTGACCAAACCAATACTTGATCATCAACCAAAGAAAGTATTTCCTCTTCCTCAAAGTCATCAGAAATTTTACATTTTCTCTTCTCCTCCAAGTTTTAATGTAATCTTGAGTGGGGAAAAAGCACATTCTGGAGAAAACCCAGGACTAGAAGGCAGAAGGTTTATTTTCCAGTCCCAATTTTATTATTTAGTGGCTGAAAATATACATCAAACTATTCCCCAACAAAAATTCACTTTAACTACCCACAAGCCACCACCTAAAATCTCACATAGACCCTTTGTGGCTGTGTTCTTCTTCCCTCAGAGCCCTTCTGGAACCTCTCCTCTCTCCAGACCAATTCCTCTTCCAGTCAAGCCCTATGGTCCCTTCCATCCCTTCTTATCTGGAACCCATGCCAGCTGGGACGTGCTCACTGTGCCCCTCCCTGGTGTTTGTTTATTCTGGATTTCTAGAAACAAGCACTTTTCCCCATCACAGAAGGGTGTTCCCAACAAGAGAAGGATTGAGTCACATGTCATGGAGGGGCAGGGAGGCCCAAGTGTTGGGAATGTCACAGTGACTGCTTGTGTGAGGAAGGGCAGGTAGAGAGTGAGTCGGGCTGGGCCAGTCTGAGATGACATGCCCTCTCTCTAGCAAGGCTGGAGAAGATGGAGGGCTTCTCTATGGTCAAAGGCCAGGCCAGAAATAGTGTGGCAGATGGGCAGGTAGCCTACTCCATGATTCTAAAAGAACCTCCAGAGACTCAACCCTAAAGCTTCCTGCAGCGTAAAGTGATTCTGCGTGAGCTGCTCGCAGGCTTAGAGTTGTATGTGAAATAGGCCCGGATGGGAGGCAGACCCTTGGACCAGTCAAAGACTCTCTTGAGAGTGATATCAGTCTTGCACACAGCCAGTGCACACAGAGAGCGCTTCGAGAGGCCATGATACTAATCACATCTGTCTCTGTGTTGTTCATGGCCAGTCTCCAAGCCTAGAAAAGAAAATCTATATACATAGCTTGAGTTGTTTTCCTCACACACGGCTTTCCTGGTCTTTGTTGGATTTCAGGAGGTGCATTTTCCCCTGGGCTGCAAATTCCCAAGTCAGCAAGATAAACACCTAAGCTCACTATTATCTTCTACTGTCTGCGAGAAGGGGCAAACCAAGCAAGTGTGCAACGTGCACCAGTCTTGCCTTATGACCTCCTGATAGGCAGGTGCTGAGAAAGGCCTCAGCCCTTCACTCAGGTAGCATGAACTAATCAGCCTGCAGCATTCCAGAGCAGGCTCCAGATCACCTGGGGACACTCTAGCTACCACTCTCACCTCTTTATGCACTAGCCTATTCCATGTTCAAATTCTTCCGGACAAACCCAAGAACTATTATGCTAATTCCCACTTTACACAGTGATGAAACCGAGGCACATTGTCTTAGTATGTTTCCTGGTACCATCTCAAAATACCTGATACTAGGTAATTTACAGAAAATGAAAGTTTGTTATACACATGCAAACGTTCCAAAAATCTGAAAAAATCCAAGCATCTCAGATAAGAGGGACTCAGCCCACGCCATACCATGTTTTTTCCTTTACGTGCATACATATGGTAAAGTTTAATTTATAAATTAAGCACAGAGAGAGACTAACTATTCTTGTGCTTTGGAGAATTATTTTAAAAGATTCATTTGAACAGAAGCACAACCACGCTTCAACAGTCAACCTGATGATTAAGGAGGCTGCTAAGCAACCCATGGCAGATAGCACATACCAAAGGCATATGCTGGACAAACACATGACAAGGTAGGCAGGACAGAGCATGCTGTCACACTACTTAGAATTATTGCACAGTGTAAACTTATGAATTATTTCTGGAATTTCCATCTAATATTTTAGACCAGAGTTGACCACAGGTTACTGAAACTACAGAAAGCAAAATTTCAAATAAGCTGGTGATATAGTAAATAAATTGAAGAGTTTCAATATGTTGTAGCTCTTAATCTTACAGTAGTTCAAATTGTTTCTTCTCTAGCCAGCCTGTTACATTTTCAAGTTGGTTCCCAAGTCCTTTTAAGATAGCCCTCTATGTTTGCCATCTTTCCACTGCTCTGACAAAATACCTGCGATCAACAACTTATAAGGAGGGAAGGTTCATTTGGGCTCACAGTTTTGGAGATTTCAGTCCACAATCAATTGGCTCTTATTGGTTTGGGGCATGTAAAATGGCAGAATATCTTGATTTCACACAAGCATGTCTGGGTATGGAATTCAGGAATGGTTTAGTTGATCTCTGATGCATACAGCATCAACCAGGGCAGCTGGACTGGACAGTCCACTTAAAAGATGACTTCTCCACTCATTTGTCTGGCATCATGATGCTCCGTGGTGTGTGCCTCTGTCTCTGTCTCTTCCTCTCTTGCTGTCACATCTCTCTCTCAGAGCCTCTTCATTCAACCTGGCTTCTCACTTGCAAAGTAGTCATAGGGTTGTCATTCTTTCTCACATAGTGATTGGCTCCCAACAGGCAAGAAGTGAAAAGTGCAAGATCAGTGGACAGCTTCTCTTGGAAGCAGCACATCACTGCTACCATATTCTGTTGGTCACACAGCATTCACTCAGACTCCAGAGGGTGGAGGAATACGTTCCAACCTCTTCTGGGAGAGCAACAAGGGCATACTGCAGATTAACATGTGGTGTGTTGTGACCATCTTCAGAAAACACGGTCCGCCATAATGCCATGGTCATGGTCCTGGGAGCCAACATGTCCTCTGAATCATTCACTCATTCATTCATTCAACTACTCAACAAATAAGTCTAGCAATTTTCAAAACATTTTTAAATTGAGAGACCATTGGGCTGGGGTGGCTTTGGCAATATATCTTCGTACATAATCAAACCTAAGCTTAATATAAATAATAAAATGAACCTAGAGAATTTTATAATCAGAAGCCAGTGGACCTCTACCAAGGATTTTTCACATCAGCTCACTGTAGCTGGGCTTGGTGGTAGTACATACCTGTAATCCCAACACTCCGAGAGGCTGAGGCAGGAGGTTCACAAATTTGAGATCAGCTTGAGCAATTTAGAGAAGTCCATCTCAACATAAAAATAAATAAATAAATAAATAAATAAATAAATAAATAAATAAATAAATAAATAAATAAATAAATAAAAGGTCTGGGGATATAGCTCAGTGCAAAAGCCCTGGGTTCAATACCCAGTGCTGAAAAAAAAAAAATCACTGCCCACATCACAGCTCTCTGGCTCTGTAGACCCCCTTATGGTTCTGAACAACCTGAAATTCAACCCTGTTGAATTTGTTTTGTCTAAAGTTTTTCTTCAAACAAAATATTGCTAAAGGCTCGCACAGAATTTCAAAGGCTTAGAAAAATATATATTTTTTAACTGAATTTTCCTTTAATGCCTAGCTGATTTTTAAAAATCTCATAAAAAGTGCATCTTGCCTATCTTAGGCAAGCTCCAGGATCACCTACCTCTTCTAGGAAACACTCCCTTGTCATCCTTCAGAAATATTAGCTCACACAGCATCTTCTTCACATCAGCAGCAAATTCATCCAGAGCCAAGACTACCTCTCCCAACACTCCTTGCAACTACACAGCCATGAAACTAAGTTCTGGCCTTACAATGCAAGTGAATAAACAACTTTTAGGAAATTTCCCTAAAGAGAAAAGGTATGCCTTCATCTTTTCCTTTCTTGCTGACTGGAAAAGCAGACCTGATGACCAGAGCTAGCACAGCTATTTTATATCATTTAGTGAATTTAGAAATAAAAGCTATACATAGAACAAGATAAAGAGCTTAAATTCTTGACATTGTAAAAGGCCCTTTGCATTCTGGACCACCTACATTTGGGTTTTTACATGAATCAGAAGTGAACATCTATCTGATTTAGGCCAGGTAGATATTAGATCGTCTGCCACTCACAAATGAACCTAATCCTAGCTGATATAACACATTTAAAGGTAGAACCTGGCAAAATGCAGTGCAATATTTTCTCTACTGAACACAGTTTACATCCCAGTGTTACAAAGTAGTCTAAATATAAAATATTCCTTGAAAGTCTCATGTGTTCAGAGAAGGGGCTTTCAAAAGGGTGACTGAATCCCGAAGCATTTACTATAATTTAATCTGTGCACTGCTGTTGATGAAATCGTAGTTTGATGGTACTATCGAAAGGTTATGCAAACAGGAGATGGGGCCTCGTTGAAGGGGGTGGACCTTGGAGGCATTATCTTGGGGACTATAACCCTGGGATCCTACCCCCACCCCGCTTCCTGGATGCCATGCAGTGAGCAGCTTTCCTCTGACACATTCTTCCATGATGATGTTTCTGCCTCACCACAGGTTTCAAAACCACGAAGCCAGACAACCATGGACTAAAACTTCTGAAACCATGAGCCAAATAAACTCTTCCTCCTTCACATGGTTTTCCTCAGGTATTTTGTCACAGTGACAAAAAGCTGACTGACACCCCTCATATCTCCAGGGCCTGCTATACATGAGTGTTCAGTTTAGAATAAATATTTCATAAGCATCTTCTAAATAAAAGACAAGAAAACAACCATTTAAACCTATCAAGGTGCATAGAAATGAATTATATGAGTCTCTGCCAGAATTTGTAGGAGCTGGTAAGAAATATTAATTCTACCAGATAGCTGACAGCTGAAGCTGGATAATACAAATCTCAAATGATAATACAATGAATTTGTCTTGTGGTGCTGCATATAATTTAAGAATCTGAAAACAATTGAATACTGAGCAAGGAGAGACTGATAAAAATGTTATATCCACACAGTGGAAATTCTATATATTTAATTAAGCAAATCTATAGGTGTGAAGATCACAGTATACATGTAGCAACATCTGTCTCAAAATTAAAAAAACAAGGCAAGGCCTTTGAAATATTACGACCCTAAAGAAAACCCACCAACACCAAAGAAAGTAAGCTATAAATAAAATAATATGAAAAACCTTGCTAACTATCGAAGCTAGATAATGAGTATGTAAGAGTTTATTGTACTAGTCTCTCTACTCTTTTTCATGTTTGAAAAATCTCTTCAATAAGAATAAAAATACTAGCACTCTGGGAGGCTGAGGCAGAAGAATCCAAAGTTCAAGCCCAGCCCAGGCAACTTAGTTATTTAGCAAGAACCTATCTTAAAATTTAAAAATTAAATGAGGATGTAACTCACTGTGAAGACTTAAGCTTCATTCCCAGTAACACACAGAAAGAAAGAAAGAAAGAAAGAGAGAGAGAGAGATAAAGAGAGATAGAGAGAAGAAAGAAAGAAAGGAAGAAAGAAGAAAAGAAAGAGAAAGAGAGAATCACATGGTTCTAAGCCTTTTAATTTATGGGTGTGTGTTTTGTTCTCACTTTTCAGTAAAAATTTTTTCAAAATGCATTCCTTATAGAAAGTGAAGGGGTGATAAAATATACATTTATGGGCCAGGGATTTAGCTCAGTGGTTCTACCACCTGCCTCACAAGCACAAGGACCTGAGTTCGATCCCCGGTA